TCTTTCCCTTATAAGCCCTCTGAGCTATTGCTCATGCTGTTCCCTTTGCCTGGAAGCATTCTTCACCTTGCATCTCCACCCACCTAGATCCTACTCAACCTTCAGGGCCCATTTCAAATATTGTCTCCTCCATGAAGTCTTCCAGGACTGCTCCAACTAGATGCATCCTCTATAGGGGCTCAGCAGCAGGGGTCTATAGGAGAAAGCACATGGGCTCTGAAGTCAGATCTGGTTTTCATCTCTGCTCTGTCAAATGCCAACTAGGTGACTTTGAGCACATTATATAATTACCTTGTGCCTCACTTTTCCCATCCATATAATGGGGATGATTATATCTATCTCATAGGGTTGCTATGAGGAGGGAAATATTCAAGCAAAGCCACTATCTGAAATTATCTTCTCATTTATCTGTTTGTTGGCAGTATACCAACTAGACGATAAGCTTCACAAGAGCAAGAATCTTGACATTTTTAATATTCTTATCCCTATAACTAAGACTGGCATTTAGCAAACACACATATATATGGGTATACATGGAATGGATGTATCTCAGCTCTGCTGTTTATTAGATATGCGTCCTTAAGCAAGTTACTTCACTTCTCTGGATCTCATTTTCCTGAACTGTAAAATGGGAATAAACGTTCCTACCTGAAAGGGTTGTCCTGAAGTTTAAAAGGCATAAAGTTTGTGAACGTGTCTGGTACAAAGTCCTTTGCAGAGGTAAAAAGACCGCCGGCTTTTCCCAGTCACGGATGTTCAAGACATAGTGAATCAAACGAAGTCCTTACCTCCCATCTACAAATTCCCCAATATATTGGCTCCCCGTGTACTCCATGGCGTCTGCCTCTAGCTTCCAGCCGTTGGGAGACCAGAGTCTCAGTGTATCCCGCCTCACTATGACAACCAGGAGGGATAGGCGGAACCGAGGCGAAGCCCCACCCCCAGGGTCCGCGGAACTTCCTGGCTCTGCGCATGCTCTGTGGCTCGCTGTTGGGCCGAGCAGTGCGCCTGCGTGCCGCCGCTGCGCATGCGCAGATGCTACGTGGCCCACGGCAGTTGGAAGGGGAATTCAAGGAGACGTGGGCGACACGGCCTCGGGCAACTCCTCGGGTTCGGGGCTACCGCCGTCATGCCCGGGATAGTGGAGCTGCCCACTCTGGAGGACCTGAAAGTGCAGGAGGTGAGGCTTGTCCGGAGGATAGGCAAGCGGGGCACAGGGCTACAGCTTCCCGGGCCTGGGCCCAGCCCTGCTTGCACTCCGCGGACCCTGGGCCCCGGATCCCCCATCCCCACCCCATGCCCCCAACACTTACACAGGTTGACCCTCGGAGGCCTCCTCGTCAGCTCGGGGAGACCCATCCCTCAGTAGCTCGAGAACTCTCCCCTTACCCTCAGCAACCTGCGTCTCCTTTACGTGAATAATAGTACTTTTTATTAAGCACCAACCAGGGTCACTTTACTTACTTCATGTCACTTAATACTCAAACCTCCTTGCGAAGTGAGTGTACAACCCCGGGTGCTCCAGTCGAGGGAGAGAGAGGGTCACCTTAAAGTAGCATCGTCGGTGCAGAGTGCATTGGAGTGGAGCTAGGAAGCTGCAGAAAAAGGAGATGATATTGGAGAGTGAATTTGCTAACAACCTGGGAAAGTGTTTGGTAATAGGACATTTAAAGCATTCATTTATTCAAGAGCTCTCATTTGAATAATTACATATGCACATACACTGGAAAATGAGAGAGATAGTCCCTGTCCTCATAGAGTTGATAATCTAATAGGGAGACAGAAACATAAAGAGTCAATTACAGCACAGTGTAGTTAGTGCTATGAGAAGTGAAGACCGATAATACTAATTACAGCAGACATGGTCAGGCCTTTTCTAGATGTCAGGCAGGTTGCTAATTACAGACATTAGTTCATAGGGTCCTTCCAGCAACACTGTAAGGAAGGGTATAATTGATCTCTCCATGTTATAGAAAAGGAAACAGGTCCTGAGAGAAGTGATTTGCCCAAGGTCACATGGTAGAGCTGGAATGTGAACCCAGGTCTGACTTTAAAACCCATGCTTTTAAACTACCATATTATGGGCAAAAGCTCAAAAGAGCGAGAAGGCTTAGCAGAACCTTTTGTATTTTGTGTTTTGCTTTTTGACATGACTCTTTTGTTGGTGGAAAGCAACAGTTACTGAGCCGGGAGAGGTACCTTGGGCTGAGGCAGGGCTGGAAGCGACTTTCACAAGGCCAGACTGAGCAGTTTGGACTTCATCCTGTAAGTGAGGTGGTGGGGAGAGGTGGAAGATTTTAAGGCAAAAAAAGGGCCAGGACAGGACTGGATAATGAGGCTACACTGGAGGAGAGGGAGGGGAAGATGAAACATTACGTGCCAAAAATTATATCCCAGGCCCTGTGTTAAGTGTTTTACCTGCATTATTTCACTTCATCTTATATGCCTGTGAGAATGGCAACTATTATTATATTATTTTAATTATTATAATAAAGTGACATGTACTAAAAGTTGGGGGTGGGGACGTGTGGGTACTGCCAACAGTTTGTTTCTTGCCCGACTGTGAAGCTGGGTTAAGACTTTGAGTTGCTGTATTTTCAGCAGTCATCTGAGGTTCTGCTTCTTGCACGTGTTCTATTTTTGGAATAAATTTGCCTTTAGAGTTCACACAGTTGAATTGAGGAACAGATAATTACATAAATAGCTAAAAAACAAAACAAAGTATGATTAAATGCTACAGAAGAGGGGCAGACATGGTTTAAGAAAAGAGGGTAGGATTTGAAGTTGTATCTAAGTTCTAGGCCTAACTATTCGGTTACCTCGATGAGTCCCATTTGCAGACACAGTTATTTTATTTGTAAGATGAAGTGATTCCAGCTGTGTAGTTCTCTGAGGCTATGAAGGGAACAGAGAAAGCACTTCTTGGGTATAATGTAAGACTTGGCTAAATGTCATTTGAAGAATGGCATTTACAGGCAGAGATGGAGAGAAGAACTTTCTAAACAAAGCAGGATCTGAGCAAAGGTGAGCAGGTGAGGCCAAAAATGGGTTCCAGGAAAGTGAGTTCAGTGTCCTAGAGGACAGCCAGTACCTTTTTAAAGTCTGTTGGGTGAGAAGGCCGGAAGGATAGTTGGGATCCGAAGGGTTTGAATACTTAAGTAGAAACTTAGGCCTTATTGTGCTGTTAAGCCTGAATCCTTCAAGGGTTTTGTTGCTAATTTGTTTTAATAACAGAGTAAAATAAGAATTGTCTTTTAGGACAGCAGCTCTGTGAAGAATGGTTGGAAGAGAGGAATAAGAAAAGCAGGAAACCAATAACTGAGGAAGATATTGTTGACCCCAGCATGATTGGTGACTGTGCTTACACAGAGGAAAGAACGCATTTATCTAGAATTGATCCGACTTAGCAATGACTTTGATATCAGAGGCAGCAAAGGTTGAGGAATCGGTGTCAGATCTGCAACTTGACAGAACTGGGGAAGCCAGAAGGAGTGGGTTTGAGAAGCAAGTTAAACCCATTTTGGACCTCATTGACCTTCGAGTTATATGACACATGCCTATGGAAAAATAGTCAGAAGCTTTGGGCAGGAAAATCTTTGTACACATTAACGATTTTGAGTAAAAATAATGGCCAGTATTTATGATGTGCTTCTATGTGCTAGGCACTGTTCTTCATATTTTTAATGTGTGTTAACCCTGACAACAGTTCTATCAACTAAGTACTATCATCCTCCATTTTACATAAATTAAGCAAAATACAAAACCTAGTATAGATTAAGTACTACTACAGAAAAAAGGTGCAGATCTGGTTTAAGGAAGAGAACAGGACTAGAAGACTGCTTGTAGATTGTGGGACTTTTTCTGCCTCTGTTTCCGCACCTGCAGACCCTCTAAACCTGCTGTGCAGTGAGGCTGTTATGAGGACAGATGAGGAAGGGCATTGAAATTCTGTGTTCTTTGAGACAAAGGGAGCTGAATGAATCTGAGAGGGTATTCACAGTAAGCAGCTGTGAAAGGATGTGGCTTCTGTTGGAACTTGTCAGTATTAGTGAAGAAGCAGGTGAGGGGTGGTGGTGACATCTGAAGTTCTTTGCCTCCTCAGTGATGCAATGGGGGAGAGGCCTGATTGGAGGTCACACTTCCTGGTGCTGGTTCTGCACTTGCCACTGACCTGCTGCGCCATCCCGAGCACGTTGCTCCTTTTCCTTAGGAAATAAATTCAGTGAGTGCTTCTCAGCCTTGATTTCCCTGTGACAGGGCGTGTTTTATGTGCTCAACAACATGGGCATAACCTAGATTGGGATAAGACCTCTACACTTGTGGGGAAGTAAAGCAAAGAAAGCCATAGGCTTTCGGGGGCGTGATAGCTGTGAAGGCATCGGAGTAATTAAATCAGCCATTTAAAGGTGTTTTAAGACATTTGACAAGGAAATAAATGCAGCTAACTTAATTTTTTAAATATATTAAGCTTTAAAAAAAGTTTGCGTCTTGATTTTTCAGTCTCCCAGCTCTTTACGGGTAATATAGCAAGCAAATATGTACCACTCAATTAGCCTAAGTAAACTGTTATCAAAAACTGGAATACAAAATTTTACAGATTTTTTTCGCGGTTTGCGGGCCTCTCACTGCCGTGGCCCCTCCCGCCGCGGAGCCCAGGCTCCGGACGCGCAGGCTCAGCGGCCACGGGCGCAGCGGCTCACGGGCGCAGCGGCTCACGGGCGCAGCCGCTCCACGTCACGTGGGATCCTCCCAGACAGGGGCACGAACCCGCGTCCCCTGCATCGGCAGACGGACTCTCAACCACTGCGCCACCAGGGAAGCCCAATTTTACAGATTTTTAGATGAACATATTAGAATTGTCATGGCAAGTTTCACTTACATCCTAAATTTACCTTTGCTTTGATAATTAGAGCAGTTGTAATATTAGTAGTCATAGTCATAACTTTATTCTCTTCCTATAGTGTGTAGATGAATTATCTCGTCATCTTTCCTTGCCTTTTATCTTATTAAAAATATTAATAATTTAACCTAGGCTGTGTGAAATTCCTAAAAAATGAAATTATAATATTTTTATTATAAAAATAATAATTATAAAATTATTCTCATGTAAAAGTTCTTAATAAATATTTGCAGATCAAGTCCAGTGGTATCTTAAGACATAATGCACTAGGACAAACTAGATTTTATTCTAGGTACAATGGGTCAGTTTTAGAAAATCTGTTAATGCTCTACATTACATTTATAGATTAATGAAAAAGAAACCTGAAAATGTCAGTCTTTCCTGGTGGAGGAAACAACAGTGCAACAAAGCCATTTATGGTTAGAAAGAAACTTCCCTAATGAGAAACGTCCAAACAAGTATATCCCAGACACCAACAGCCAATATCATACCGAACTACTTTAAAGTTTAGAACAAGGCAAGGATTCCTACTGCCATTGCTGTTTGTCTGTATCATCCTGGAAGTTTTGGTCGGAGCATTAAGATAGGGAAA